ACCACTGGCTATCGTGCAGGTCACCGGTTCAACTCCAGGGAACTGTGCAGATACTGTACACAGGTAAGCTGAGGTCAAGGGATCGACCCCTGGGATCTGCATCGGCTACTGCCAAAGGTGAAAACTGTTTCAGATGTGTGATGAAGGGCACCAGGAATCGGTAACTCACGGTTTCATTGGATGTCAGCACACAGAAAAGGTATGGCAGTGTTGTATGGATGGATCTGTCAGGAGAACAATTCCTGCAAGATCCTTTCTTTCTGCTAACAGCCTGGTTTTCAGCAAATAATCAATTGACCATTTTGTCAAAACAAAAACAAAAACAAAAACCATTGCTGGTTTTGCTGGTGGGAACGAGAACGTACACACCAAGCAATACAATCTGCCTTTTCACAAACAACAGGGTGGTCTGGAGGACATGCTGACTCCACCTTGACACTGCTGACACTGATTGCATCCATCTCATTGTAAAGCTGTAAATTGCATTTCGCAATATTGCAACTGATTGTTTTGACGGTTTTTCCATCATCCTTTATGGGAGGAAAGGAAATCATTTGGTGAGGGTGTTATAAATTGCCAGTGGTTCATGGCAGGTATTAGCCAAGGCAATCAGCAAAAGGGAGAAGCACATAGCTCAGACACCAATTACATCCATCTGATTGTAAGCTGCATTTTGCAATTTTGCAACAGATTGTTTTGGCAGTGTATGTGTTTTTTCCATGATCCTTTATGGGAGGGAAAAAAATGATTTGGTGAGGGTGTGATATTTGCCAATGGTTCACTGCATATATTAACCAAGGCAATTGAGCAAAAGGGATAAGCACATAGCTCAGACATTCCACCTCACCTTCCATTTCATCGTTAGCTTGTGGAGGCGGTTGGATGCTTTGCCTAACATTTTTAGAGTCAATTGACCCATCATCCAGTCCGGGGGATCTTTCATGCTCCATACTTCTCCTTGTTTCCCTGTTGCTGGTGGCTTTGGACTGACAGCATCACTGGAGACATTCCCGTAAAGTGAGGATTCATGCAGCACTTCAGCCAAAGGTCCAGATTGAGGTTCTGCCTCAGAGAAGACCTTGGCTCTAGTCTGATCATCGCCATCTTTTTTCACACTGCTTGCCACAATGGTACTGTTCTGCTCGATCACACTTAGGTGATTCTCAAGGCTAGGTCTCATCGTAGTGGGGTCGCTCCATGAGGTCACATCAGCGTTGTAGATGGCTGTCATGCCACGCAGGAGCTGATCAAGGGTCTCCACAGTGAACAGTTCAAACCGCTCCCTCTTTTCAAGGTCCGACTGCCAGTTCACGAGGGTTGCAGGTCAAAAGCCGGCCCGATAAGGAGGGCGGGATGAAGAGATGATGGGTTGCAGGCAAGGAGAAACAGAAAAGAACAAAAATTCGTGAGATTGCACAGAGGTCTATGTTCCCCATCGGATGGTCTGGATCCCCGTGTTAATGCAATGAACTGCGGAAAGTGAGCAATAAGGTACTGGAGTGCAAAATGGCAGCAGGGGTAGAGTCCATTGAATGAATTATCTCACATTCACGTTTTTATCTTTCATGCAATAGTTTCACCACTCTGTGAATAGCCATTAGAAGTGCAAGTTCACTCACCGATCCTCTTTCACCTCTCTTTTCTCCCTTACTAAGGGATTCACAACTCATCGATGTAGTGCAGAGAGGCGACCACATGGGCAGCACAATCGCACCTAACTTTCTACTCTCTTCTTGTCATTTGCTGCTTCTCTGTGATTCAGTTGCAGTGACCCAATGTGTTTTCAGTGTGTAATTTTCTGAGCATGGACAAGTGAAGTCCTGGTTCTAACCACCACCACCACCACCGGCTTCTTCTTCTTCTTCTTCTTCATCTTCGTCTTCGTCTTCGTCTTCGTCTTCGTCTTCGTCTTTGTCTTCGTCTTTTGTAGTGCCATGTTTTTCTTCTTCTTCTTCTTCTTCTTCTTCTTCTTCTTCTTCTTCTTCGTCTTCTTCTTCTTCTTCTTCTTCTTCTTCCTCTTCGTCTTCGTCTTCTTCGTCTTCGTCTTCGTCTTTGTCTTCGTCTTCGTCTTCGTCTTCGTCTTCGTCTTCGCCATGCCATGTTTTTCTTCTTCTTCTTCTTCTTCTTCTTCTTCTTCTTCTTCTTCTTCTTCTTCTTCCTCCTCCTCCTCCTCCTCCTCCTCCTCCTCCTCCTCCTCCTCTTCTTCTTCTTCTTCTTCTTCTTCTTCTTCTTCTTCTTCTTCTCCTTCTTCTTCTTCTTCTTCCTCTTTGATGTCGTCATCGTCATCGTCTTCTTCTTCTTCTTCTTCTTCTTTGCCGTCGTCGTCGTCGTTATCATCATTCGCGGTGATGGCTTCCTCATCATCGTTGTTGTCAGTCTCAGCATCACTGCTTTGTTTTCTGCGTCGCTTTCATTTTCGTTTTCGTTTTCGTGTTCGTTTTCATGTTCGTTTTCGTTTTCGTTTTCGTTTTCGTTTTCGTTTTCGTTTTCGTTTTCGTTTCCGTCTTTGTCTTTGTCTTCCTCTTTTTCCTCGTTGTGCTGGTCTTCATCTTCTTCATCTTCTTCTTCTCCGTCTTCTTCTTCATCTTCTTCTTCTTCTTGATCGCTGTGGTCATCATCATCGTCGCTGCTGCTCCTGCAGCACCCATCCATGGCCTTTACAATACAGCCCATTGGGCCATAATAGGGAAAGGGATGATTAATCAGTAATTTTACCTCCATCTCTCTCAGCATTGCATCCGCAGTATGCTTTTCCTCCATAAGGCTCTTCAAATGCTCAAGGATGACTTGCTTCTCAGGAGGAAGCGCAGAACTTTTTGATGATCTCCTCCTTGAATTTTGAGTCTTTTGACTGATAGTGATGTCATTCTTGCCATTGTCAACCTGTGGGCTATTCTCGACGCCAGTCCCCTCGGGCTGCAAATTTACAGTATTGGCTGTCTTTGGCCGCAAAGTGGTATCCTTCTCCTCAGCCAAGGTGATTGATTCTTCAATAGAGTGCTTGGCTGACTTGGACCGCGACACCATAGAGGCCTTTGAGTCTTTTGAAAACCCCTTTGACTGCAACCGTGCAAGGACGGACGTTCGAATGCGGCCTTTCCATCGTTGACTGGGACTCCTTCCTGCCTTCGTTCCACCTTCCGTTGGCACCCTGGTGTCTTCACTTGACCTGTTCTCACCGTGAGTCATAACCTCATCCTCATAGAGCTGCAGCAAGCTCTCTGAAGCTAGCAGCTTGGATTTGGCAGACTCAGCATCTTTCGATACCCTGGACAGCAGAACCTGTGCATTGGACAAGACAAAGTGTGTCCATCAAGGTAGGGAAGGAAGAAGGGAACCAAAGCAAGGGGAAAGGAAGGGAAGGGGATGAGGGTATCTTGTGATGTTCAAGTTAGACTCTGAATTTCAAATTTCATGACAGCTTCCGAACCACTTAGTTTTGCCAACCACTCAGTCTCATTTCTGAATGACTTTCCTCTTGTCTCCTCTTCTGGCCTCCTCTGTCCTCTTTTTCAATTTTTTTTGGTAGTTCACAAGTTTCTGAGCATAGAATGCATAATGTCTCCAGACTGCAAAACCAGAACTCTTGCACCAGAAGCACTGAGTTTGCCTCCTCACTCACTCACTTGTCCCTTTTTTCAATTTTTTTTTGTAGTTCACAAGTTTGTGAGCATATAATGCATAATGTCTCTAGACTGCAAAACCAGAACTCTTGCTCCAGAACCACTGAGTTTGCCTCCTCACGTACTCACTCTCAGCCTAGCTATGGTACGTTCTCACACTCTCACCTCCAGAGCTATGGCTTCCTACCCCTTCAGGACTATGAAGCATGGCTGCTGTTTGCCACCGAGGGCTCCTACAGACAAGCTAAGGCTATGGTTGCAATCCTACTCTTTCTAGGCAGTCAGCAGTCGGCAGTCAATTAAACAGGTCAGCATGAATGCCCTACCACTGTCCAATCTGTAAGTAAGGTCCGAGCTTCATACTTCTGAAGGTTGTAGGAAATGGCAGCCAGATAGCTAGGATGAATTGCAAAGACTGGCACAAAGTTTACACGGCAGATTGTTAGCCGGTTAGCATGTCACTCGGATGTGTCTGGCAAGGAGAAGCCTGGAAGTTTGCCTTGGGATGGATGGGCCAAACATTTGGACGTTTTGGTGCCAATTTCTTGGATATGTGCACGATGTCTGCCGGATTGTGGCTTGACCCTTCATAAGGATCGGAGATTGTACATTGGGATGTTGCTGTTGTTCACATTACTGCCTCATTCAGATGCAGGTGATTGACTTGCAGGGCCTTTGAACTGTCTCATTCAGATGCAGGTCATAGACTTGCTATGTCCTTTGTATGGAGCCTCCGTCTGGAATAATCTGGCTTATTGGATCCGCTGTTCTGCCCCCGAGGTCCAGTGCATCCTACCGATTCACGCTGGTTAGGGTCCTGTTGGCAATGCCAAACTGTAACTATCAAATACCTGGAAATCAGGGGACTAGAGCTTGTCAGCATGCCTGCAAGACAGATTTTGATACATGCCTAGTTGGGCAATGTATATGGAGCCAGGGATCCGCAAAGTGACGAAAAGGACTCGAATGGACAATGAAGTGTCAGCAAAGCATCAACAAGCAATGTACATCCAGATACATATGAAAATAGCACCATGTAGCGCAGCGGAAGACTCAAAGATATGACCTGACCTGTCTGATACTCACGCGACATCCCATCATACACCACACATGTGAGAGAGGGAGGAGGGACAGCATACAGAAGAAAGGTCCCTCCTTGCACACGCACATGGGGGAGTTACCACGGACGAGAGATGGGGGGAGAGGCGAGACGAAGATGGAGGTCAGGGAGAAGACCAAGATCGCGATAGCAAACTCCAAAAATAGTCTCTCTGCCGAGTGTCCAATCAAATGTCTCCCTCAAAAATGTCGAATCAGATCCTGGGCATCATGCCCAATGTAACCTCTGCCTGAAGAAGAAGAAGAAGAAGAAGAAGAAGAAGAAGAACACCTGCAGGTAATTGCTGCCATGGACTGACCGTCGTCGTTGTTGTCGCAGCGCTGCTCCAGCGGCGTGTCACTCAAGAAGTGAGCTACTCGAACTGTGTGTGAGCCCTGGCCTGGCCCAGCTATGTATAGCGCACGGCCTCGCCGGTGTGACCTCGCTTTGGCCTGAAAATGGCCCACACGATCTGGGTCCCTACTGGGCGACCAGACTGTCCTACTGATGCAGCAGGGCGCGAACCTGAACCTGGCCTCGAAGGGCCCTGCCTCCTGGTGCACCCAGCCCAAGGCGCGGCCTTGGGGACTGCAAGTCCAAAACGACGTCTGAACAGACAAAAATAGGACAGCAAATAATAAATAAATAAATAAATGAATGCTGTCTCAAATCGATACCTGGGCCTAAGGGCCGCCGTGGGCCTCCAGGGTGCGCGTCCGAAGGGCGTGCAGCCTGGAGGCCCCTCAGCAACCGCTGGGGCCCTGAAATGGGGCCCGTGTGCAGGCTCAGCATGTAGCAGATTTGCAGGGCAATGCAGCAGGAGATCTGACAAGAGCTGCGGACCAGTGCAAATTCTGACTGTATACTACTATTGCGAGGATCTGGGTCCTCGGCAGGCCTGAAGGGGCCCTGTTGCATATGTGCCCGCCCTAAGTTAAGGCGGGCCAAACAAAACACGAGAGGCCCTCGGCTGTCAATTTCGTATTTGGGGTCCAGACAGTTGCCACGCGCCAGTTGGTTAAAGGAAACCCAGTCCGAGCAGCAACCACGGCCTTCCTGGCCCTTCCGGAAGTGCAGGCCCTGGGCAAGAATCGCAGCCTCATATACAGACAGTTGAGAGGCCCAACCGAATGAGGCCCAGTAGCCGCAGCAGAAGCGCACCGTACTGGGGCCTACCGGAAGCTTCTGGGCCGAGGCCCAGGCCAGCCAGGCCTCCAATCGAGGCAGGCTCTTTCCATATGGGAAAGAGCCCGCTGCCTGGCTGGTCATTCGGGCACTTGCATGCTAGCAGCAGCGCTGCTGGAGCGGACGCTCGCGGGCTGTGGCTGGCGTGAGAGGCAAGGTGCGGGCACGTGCGGTCGTGTGCAGAAAAGGGCGCTGCTGAGGGCAGTGCCATAGCCCATCCTCCATAGCTAGGTGGGCTTGGTCTACAGTGAGGCGCAGGGGGTGGTCTTCGGGTGTAGAGAAGGAAGATGCGGGTGTATGACGAGGGAGAGAGAGAGAAGGATGATGATGATGATGATGATGTGAGGGCACATGCCTGGTAATGGCGATGGTCTGCTGTGGGCAACATCTTCAAGTACTTCATTGGCTGCTGACATCAACAGTTGCATTGTCAATTAGCAGGCTAGTAGTAGCTGTGTAGGGAGTAGGCTGGGCGCCAAGCGCCAAGTAGGGAGAAGGGCCTGGATACATATGTTGGTGGTGGCGAGATCAAGCTCTCATTGACATTGCTTTTCGGTGTTACGATTCTCCATTGGTGTCATATTGGTGCAGTGCTGCTTCCTGAACACTGTGATACGATCTGGCTTTCAATGTGATTGTGCAATCTGTATATTGTCATCTCGCTACTGCTTATTTTCCTTGCACTATGATGTGGTCGGCACCTTTCAGTGGAAACTTGCATTGAGTCGTCAGAGATCCAAGCAGACGGTGACCTTTCGTGGTTTGTGAGAAGTCACTGCCTTTCTGACGAATACTTGTTGAGATTTCCATGACGGAGTGCTTTGACTTGCCCACGAGTGAATGCGTGCATTTCTGCTCAATCTTGGGACGATTGGATGAGTCAAACACTACCTATTTGCCCAGGTCGTTGTTCTGTGTCTTGAGAGAGATAGACCATAAATAGGTGTAGATACAGGAATAGGACTGAGATTGCCTTTTTCTGCAAAGATGGAATGAATATTGTATTGCTATGTACAGTCACACATTGTGAATTGAAGAAAAGAAAAAGAACTCAGATAGACAGCAGAAGGGCTTGCAGGTAAATTCAGAACAGACAGGGATACTGGGAAAGATTATGCAAACCCAATAGAAATTATTCTCGACCTCCAAGAGACCCTGTAGCCAAATAGGACGTCTGAGTACATGATGCTGCCAGACCAAACCCGGCCAGATATCAGACCAGGTACGTCCGTAACTGGTAGGCTTCCGGACTGCAATGATCGTAGAGAGAGGCCGGGTGGGGCCTGGAGTGGCCAGCGGAAGCGACAATTTACCTCCTAGACCTACCAGTCTAGCAAGCATATAACTTGTGTGGCGGTTAATTTTTGCAGCTCTCATCGTAGGCTCAATCCTGCTCTGCCAGAGTGTGAGTTAGTGGAGCAGCCTGGACGTTCTTTTAAATGTTTGTTTGTTTTATTTCGTGCATACAACGCCTTTTACCAGCCGCCGACTCCCTGAGTTTCATAAGGCTCAAAGAGACCTCGGATTTGTACCAGAGGGAGTGCAGTGAACAATGCAAATCGCAGTTTAGGAACTGTGTTTTCGAAGCAATCAATATCTTTCATGAGTTTGTAAGGTAGGGTTCCATAGTCGAGCTGTCTCTAGACCGGGTGGTTGCCTGTCTTAAGGATAAATTAATTTCAGGGCTTGCCTGGGGGGGGGATGGTCCCTTGCTTGCCCAGGGTAGGTAGTGTGACATACAATAATGAGAGAAGATAATAGCATAGTACAAAAACGCGGCTGTCCCCCATATGAGGAGAAGACAAGCCTGCATTTTTCTCCTTCAAAAAATATATAAATATCTTCCATGAGTTTGTTGCGATTCTTCCTACCGTCTGCACCCGAATACAAGGCCTGGTCAGTATTGCTGCATCTGGGCTGAAGGTTGCCCCAAATACAGCTATAATGACCGGGCATTCTTTTTTTCTTTTTTTTTTCAATACAGCTTTCTCCTCCTCATATATGGGGGACAAGCTGTATTTTTTGCTACCCTATTTTCTTCTCTCAATTTTGTATCTACCTCACTGTAGCTCCCTACCTAATGGGTTACCTCTATCCCGGAGGAAGCAATTTATGCCTTGGGCATAATGACCGGGCATTCTGTTTGGGTGAAGACGGTAGTTCTTGCTGAGATTCCTGTGTATGTTGCGCTTTGGCTTGCCTGTTATATGACTGTGTCCAGATTACCAACTTGGTGGTTGTACTGTTGTTCTGGGCCTGAAAGGACATCTGTAAACAAGGGAACATACAGAGACAGGACTGAAATTTAGCTGACCCACCAGGAATTTCCAGCAGGATTTTTCAGCAACTTGAAGTAGAGACCTGAAAGACTGAAA